GTGTGTGTGTGTGTGTGTGTGTGTGTGTGTGTGTGTGTGTGTGTGTGCGAGCGCTGTTGCACACATGCATATTTGCGTTTGTGTGACTGATTACATTGGTATTTTGTGTAAACAGAACTGAGATTTTAGTTAGTGTAACTATGAGCGTGTGTGTGTGTGTGTGTGTTCTGTATGTGTGTTATTGTGTGTGTGTGTGGCCTTTCTGTCAGTGTTTGCGTTTTGTGAATGCATGGTTGCCCAATCCGGACATTTCTATTTACACACCCTGTACAAGCAGAGTTTGGTTGTTCTAACACCTTTTTCTCAAGTTTGGTTGACGTAATGATTCCGACTGTGTGATATCTGACTGTACATGCAATATGCATTGTGTTTACTTTACACAATATACTGTAACACACAGCAGAGATCGTAAGGCAGTGCAATCCTTATGTGTGTGTTTATTTGCCTGTTTGTGTGTGTAGCACCAGCAACAGGTGGTCCAAGCCGTGGAGAGGGCCAAGCAGGTCACCATGGCTGAACTCAACGCCATTATCGGGGTGAGTCACCTCCATTCATCTTGACAACACAGACACACATCTAGACAAACGCACACATTAACTAAGGACCAATCTGACCATGATGAGTCAGCTGATCGGTGAGTCATTAACGTAAGCATCACTCAAGGTGTTTACATTTGCTGTTTGTTTTTTGCTTGTGCTAAATGTAGATTGCAGGTATATTTAGCCTTACAATTCTTCCGGAGCTTTGATAGCATGCTATAAATTAACGCGGCTAATGGACGATTTCAAAGTTGTTTTAAGAAAACGAAAATTGGCCTTTGAAGGATTATTTTTTTGATGCATCTGTGTTTAAGCATTCTATATCCCCTAAGAGAGCCAATCTGTTAGAATCAGATGATAATTGGCATAATTTCTGTATATATTTCCGATGAATCTATTGTGGCAGCGGCAAATTAGGTGCTGCATCCTGTAGTTACCAATGTCATATAAAGATGTAATGAATCACCGTTCACGATATAATAGCTGGGGAGCAACAATTTTTTTAAAGCTCCCGGCTGATATATTTGCACTCTGCAAAAAAATATGTTAACGATTTGGAGTAACACTGGTAAACATGGTAGCGTTTGCTCTTATGTGGGCGCCCTCCTCTCAAATATGTTTAAGGACAGAAAGAAATCGGGATTGTTATGAGATCAGTCAGCTGTAATTGTCAAAGATCTTATCACATTACTGTCTACTTACTGTAGGTATGCACTGCTTTAATTAGTCAGTATTCAGCATGATTTCTGTTAGATACTCTCTGTGAACAGCTTACAAAAACAACGACACCCATAATGTAACAAAATACATACCTTAACCACACTGATATCATTTTTTTTAAATACTCAAAATGCACATCTGACCATGACCTACACATGCTCGTCTGCACATATATGTTTTAACATGAGCGCGCGCACACACACACACACACACACACACACACACACACACACACACACACACACAGCCAGACAGTGATGCTCCTGAGTGCCCTCGTAGACGGGGCTTTCCAGAGCTTGTCAGAGCGCTGATCACATTACTGTCTACTTAAAGCCTTTTGTTCCTCCCAGCACCACAAACACTGCTGTCTCTGAGGTGTGTATGTGTGTCTTAACACACCAGCTTGACAAAACAACACACATAAAAACATCATAATGCTCCCCTCAGGATAATAGCCTTCCTGTATCTGTAGCTGCTCCTTTGCTCCCTTCTCCTCGCTCTATCCTCCGTCATCCTCTTTTCCCGTTTTCTTTTTTGTCTTTCTGTTCATTTTCTCTGTGGATTGTCTCATCTCTCCTTTTGTAATCTTTTATCATTCTCTTCCTCCGACTATGGCCCTGTCCTAATTCCTCCTCTCTCATTGTTTTTGGCGACGTCTTATCTTTTGCTCTCTCCGCTGCACACTTTCCCTCCCTCCTCCTCTGCTCATTTACCCTCTCTCCCCCTATCTTCTCCGCTCTGTTCATCTAACTCTCCTTCACTTTTCACTTCCTCCACCATGATTTCCCTCCGTTCCACTTCCTCCCCATCATTTACTCTGACTCAAACATTTTCTTCCCTCTCTTTTACCCACTCTGTGTTTTCCCCTGGCCTCTTTCTCATTCTCCCTCCTCCTGCCTGTCCTTCATAATAAATCCCATTCATCCCCTCACTCTTTTCAGCGTCTCTCCTTCTTTCTTTCACTCTCCATCTCCTCTTCCTTTACTTTCTCTCTGTGTATCCTGACCATTTAATTTCCTTCTCTACATCTTTCCTCTTCCTCTTTCTGGTCCTTGGTGTCCATCTTTCTCACCTTTTTGATCCACTAATCTCTTTAACATCCTATCTTCCTTCATCTTATTTTCCCCTCTCACTGTTGAGCTCTCCGTGTGGATTTCATTTCATTCAGCGGCTCCCTCTCTCTTATCTCTCTCACCTCCCTTTTTCCAAGCACAAACCCCACTTCCCCTTTACTTTTCCTTCTTCCTTCTCCTTTGTTCTTTACACTTTCTAATGCTTATTTTCTATCCATGTCTTCTTTACCTTGATTTTTTTCTAACCACCCACCCTTTTGTATGACACCATCCCTCCCCGCTCCCTCCTTTCCCTGTGGCCACAGCAGCAGCAGCTCCAGCACCTGTCTCACCATGCCCCCGGCATCCCTCTGACGCCACACCCATCAGGCCTCTCCCTGGGGGCGGGGGGTTCAGGGCTTCTTGCGCTGACCGGAGCCCTGGGGGTCTCGGCCCACCTTGCCTCCAAAGATGAGCGCAACCATCTTGATGCTGAACATCTCAGAGGTAAAGAACAGTCGACTTTTAGTCCTTAATGTTGTCTCCAAAATGAGACTTAAATGTTCTGGCACATCTACACACATAAAATAATAATAATAATACAAATATTGCAAACAAGATTCGGCGTCCGAAGTACGCCAAAACCTCTTTCCTCTCAAGAAAATCTTCAAGTGCTGCTGATTGTTCTCCTTTTAGGACTTTTAGGACTGTGGACTTTGGTCAAAATTGCCGCGCGATTATGGCTCCAACATAAAGTACCACATCAGCTGCAGCCATCTTGGGTGTTTTCAAAAATGCCTCAACCTCTTTATAGTTATTGTCACAAACACGCCCAAAGGGTTGTGATTGGCCCGTCAGATCTCATGTTGCTGGAAATCTGTCCAAAGGGGAGGGGGACCAGATGCATCTGCCAGAGCAAATAAAACACGACCTTGCAGATTTGTCTGGTTCCCCGGTAAGATGTTTTCGCCCTTTTAGCCCTAAAGTACATTACAGTTGCAGTGCAGCAAATCCGTGTACTTGCTGTTGTTACGGGTCAGTGTGCACAAAAGGCTTCATCATTGAAAATCAATTACACTATTGAACGTGTTGAGAAGATGTTTAGCGCGTTCAATACGTGGGAGGTATGTAACAGACTCTGGGAAATCATCCAGAATAAAAACATCAGATATCAAACATCAAAGAATAATCTTATGTTTGTATTTCTGCATGTACATGTGAGCGTTGTGTGTCTCAGTGTAATTCATTACAAACTGGAATTGGCACAAAGCAGCAGTGAGAGAAGCTTTGACAGCTACAGAATAAAAAAACAATACTTTTTTTTTTATCATTTTAGACAAAAAATGTCAAGCAGTCCTATACATTGTTTGTGACTGGCAGCTTTTGTCTAATTTTTCACAGCAAGTCACCTTTTGGTCTGAATTTGAACTTCTTTGGTTAGATTGCTGTCATAATATGGACAAACATATTCCCGGCACTTGTGTGTGAATGCAAGAAAAAATGCTTTCTCCCTATGAACTTTCATTCACCCCCATAGAATATCTTATCTTCACGCTCTGTTTCAGGCACCAAGCCAAGAGAGACTTTCTCATGAATAAACTGAGAGCTAGAAAGAAAAAAAGGAGGAATGACTAAGAGCAGAAAGGGAGACAGATAGAGAGATCAATGTGTTCATATTGGCGTGCTAAGCAGCTGTGCGAGAGCTTGTCTGCAGCTGTGTGTGTTTCTGTTCTTGCATATGAGAGGAAGAATGAGTGAAAAGATAGTGAGCGTTGAAAGAGGCAGCATGGGAAAATGGCGAGCTTTGTCTGGAGACAGGAATCATATTTGTATCTTTATTAGAGGAGCCGTCGTAGTTCAGCCTAACCTTGGCTGACTGGGGGACTGTTGTTGTTATTATCATCAGGACTGACGTCAAACTTTCTCTCCTGTCCTCTTTACTCCTCTCTCCCACTTTTTCCTCTACTCTGTTCTCTTTTCTTACCATTCTCCGTCCCATCCCAGAAGGAGCACCCAGCAGGGTGAGTAGTTGTGTGTATGTGTGTACAGTAAGTGTCGTCTACACCCACATTTGTGTGTGTGTGTGCCTGTGTGCGCGTGTGACAGTGATAAACTGAGGAAAATGGAGACGGACTGTAAAGTGGCCTCTAAAAAAGGCTGTGTACTGCTGGTGCTCAGCCAGGAGTAGCCCAGCTCAGCACCAGCACAATAGCTGCTCAGCGCTATCAACCTTGAGCTCCTCAAGGTTCTCTGCATCACACGAACGTCTGAGCTCACAGCCTTTCTGCTGTTCTCTGGAAGGGAGTACAAATTGAGTGAATGGATGAACAAGGAACTGTTTATTTTTCAGCACCACAAATGTTCTGGTAATCTACAGGACTTACAGAACAAGTGAAAGGATTAGCACTAAGTTAATGGCAAATGCTGCCCAAAACACAGCAGTTTGGTGTCTGTACAAATAAGCAACTCTTACTTCACAATGTTTGCTTGAGTGTGCTATGCATCCACTATATAAAATGCCAATGACTGGAGGCCCCTTAATGTCTGATGTAAAATATAAAAACACACCAAAATATCACACCACTGAGATCCATTTGAAAATGTGTTTCCCAACAGAACTTGCTCTGTTGTATTGTTAGTGAATATTTGGTGTAGAATTGCACAACTGCCAGTTCTTCAGGAGAGACGGGGACCACAGTAGATGTTTTCAGAGTCCATTTATCGACACTATCTTTCCAAAAACGTTTCCTATTGAAGCCTGACTCTGTGCATTGGTAGGTACAGTAAACGGAGAATCAGATGGTATTACAGTCTTTTTTCTATCATGATTGCATGTTGCTATCATACAGGTTTTTACATTAATGTGACTTTTTAGAGGCAAGACCCCACGCAAGTTCGTTTGGCTGAACAGATTGACTTAGTCAGTGTTCGATTATACAGACGAGTCTGTTAGAAGTTCACGTTCAACAGTTTGCAAATTTAGTGTGGAGGTGAGATTTGACATCGATACCGATATCGGGCCGATACTGACTCAAATAGCTTAATCAGGTATCGGTCTAATCTATTCAGATCGATATACTATATACATTATGTACTGAAAATGTAATTCCTGTTTAAGTTTGGACCAGTTTTTCATTAAATAAGTTTACACTTGAATTGTAAATAACAGTTGAATCCATTGATATCTAAGTATTTATCTGTTAAATTGTGTTTCCCAAAGTTAAGAAAGCAGTGTTAAAGTCAAGCCTGATCTTTAAATACACATAAAAATTGATACCTGCCACTTATGCACAGTGAGGGTTAAAGATTAATTTAACATTGGTATCAGTCAATACCCAAATTGCAGGTATCATATTGGGATTGGGCTTGAAAAAGTCTGAATGGTGCATCCCTAGATGTGACCGTATGGTGACTCAGGTCACACTAATTGATGGGGTTAAAGAAAAAAAAAATTGAGTAAATGCAACATACAATGAAACATGAAATGTATACAAGTGTCCATCTTGCCTCACAGGTTTTGCTCATATTTACGTCACTGTAACTAAAAGTCCCCGTTAATCTCCTCAATAATTAATGCAGTGTAAATGGGCTGATTGAAATTCAGTGGACGTCTACGGCCGGTCCTATTCTCTCTGGCTGCAGATTGCTCCGCTTTATAGAAACCGTGTGAACACTCACTTACTGTACTGGCTGCAATGGACAGCTGGCCTTCATCAGTGTAAATGTTGATAACACCGAGAGAGGGGGAGAGTGTTCGAGGGAGATGGAGAGTGAAATTGGAAAAGGAAAAAGAGAGAGAGAGACTAAAGAGGAAGAAAAAAGACCAGGGAAAATAGGTAGGGAAAGGTTGTAAAAAAGAATACCAGCTAGTCTTTGTTCTGGCTTTTATTACGAAATGAAAATGATTTAAGAGCGCTACTGACTTAACTTTCCCTCCCTCACTCGCTATCCGCAATGAAGCCCTTAGCATAATTTAATTGCTAAACACAATACTGATTGTTAAGCACCAGGAAAATATTCCTCATGTGACTTGAGGTTTGTGTTGAACTTAGCCAAGCATTACGGCGTTTGGAAAGGAAGGGGTGGGGAGGGAGAGAGAGAAGTCATGGGAGAGATGCATATCAATTGGCATTTGTCAGAGAGCCCTGCACCAGTAAAACATGTTGGAATTTTAAATGGAGGGGAAAAAAAGGACAGCGAGAGGAAGTCAGGGGAGGAGGAGAAAAGAAAAAAGAAGAGAGGGAAGTTTGTTGAGCCGCACTGAGGTTCATTGTGTGGTTTCTCCTCTCCTCTTGTCCGGCGCTCCTTCCTGTCGGCCCCCGTGGGCTCCTTCCTGTGTGACTCATTGGTGTGATAAACCCTTACTGTTCTTGTCCCCCCCACAGGGGGAAAGAGAATGACAAGTGGCCCTCACTGAACCTCTGGCCCCTGCCCCAACGCAAAAACAACACAATGCTTTGATCGACTTTTCTCAGTACCGAGCACCAGGCCTGGCTGTATTGTAAATATGCCTTCACAGCTTTATTGCCCAATAATGAGAGTCATATTTTACATGAGGACGGGTGTGTCAAGGGGGGAGAGCACTAATTAGCTTTATACGCTGTCTCGTGTGCTTCTATGGCTACGTCTTAACCTGTGCTTACGTCTGCTGTTCTTGCTGTGTGTGTGTGTGTGTGTGTGTGTGTGTGTGTGTGTGTGTGTGTG